TTCAAACAAAGCAGTCAGTGGACCTGTTACTACCTGCTGACCTAGAGAAATTTCTCAGAAACTTTTGTTCGAAGAAAACGAGTTTTATATTTTTAAGAATTTCCATTCTGACAACATGATTTTGTTATTTTTCATATATAGATGAAAAGAAACTAATTGTTTTTAATAAAGAAGAAAAAAATTAATAAGCTTATTTAAATTTTTTACACAGCACCGAGTAAGGAGACGAAATTTAATTTTCTTTATAAATATTTTTCTCAGACAATACTTTAGTGTTTTTCAAATTACGAGAATAGCGCGTTAGTGCATGCATTTCAAATCAGATTTATTTAATTAATATATATGGATATGCGAACAAGCACACTTTCGCACACATACACTGTATATTAGTACATACATAAAAATGAAATAAAATTTGAAAACAAGCAATTTAAAAACTGCTGTATTGAAAATTATTGAAAATTTGTTTTTTACCTCATTTTTTTTTTCGTTATATACATTTACTTCAGTTTTTTTATATGCATTTACTTAATTTATTTTCTTATATGCATTTACTTAATTTTATTTTGTTATATGCATCTGTTAGTTGTTTTTGAAAAATTTTTAGATTTTTTGAGTATGGCAAAGGAAAACGAGATCTATCAGCCGAAGGCAATGAATGTCTCCATGGACGACTTTCTAAGTAAAAACGTACTCATGTTCATGTTACACATAGGGGAAATCACAAAATTCAACCAGTTCGTTTGTTTGGGTTCGAATACGAGTCGAAATAGCAATAATCAGATATCTTAGCCAGGAGGCCATTGATTGGGTTTGACAGATTTGAAACCTAATAAATAGTATTTAATAAATATAATACTATTAAAACGAATCGGATTTATATAAACCAAATAAAATTCTTATATCGAACACAACTAAAACTCGATATAACTTACACTGATAAACTGATGTGTAATAACACTGATAAATTAAAATACTAAACGGAATATACATTAATTCTACATAGATAATTTTTTTAATTTATTTCGCTGGGAATGTCTGGCCGCAAAAATCCTGATTATATATACCCTTATTTTAAGGTTATCACATATCTGATGGTTTGACTTTTACCTCAAAAAACAAAGAATCCACAAAATTCAGTAAAATTAATAACTTTATTTCCATGTTGAAAATTCTCTGAATCTTTTCAAATATAAAAAAACACACGCGCCAAGCAGTTTGCTTTAAATAAATATATGCAGCAACGAGAAGATGCGCTTTTGACAGCAACTCGTTTCGAAAATCGAAAATTTTTCTAAATGTAAGAGATTTGTCGCTTAAATTAATTTTTCATTAAACAAAAAAACAAAATAGAATCGCATATTATTAAAAGAATTTTATTGATAATTCAGATTCTGAAAACAAGAACATTGTTGTTATAAAAAACAAAGAAAAAATAAACAACATATTTCATTCAACGGGAGCCAACTTTGATGCATGAATTTTTCAACATAAAAATATTTGAAGCATGTTATGGATAAAGGTTTATTTGATTATGGCAAAGTACTCGATGGTTATTTGCCTAAGGTGAAGGATGCCTTCGTTCGAGGACTGCCTAACGGAAATTGGCTTGAATACATGTTACACATATGGAAAACTAAGAATATCATCCTGGCAACCAACTCGTTTCCCGGGATTCGAACCCCGGACAGAACCACCAGTTGTTCCGTTAGACTCCGCTCAGTCCCTGGTGGGCTGTCCGATAACGGAAAAGTTCAAAATTTCATATTAGAGGAAAAGTGGTAGCATAGTATAATTCGAAGTTATTGCCATTTCAGTAATGTGAAGAGATTTCAAGAATGTTTAATTATTTTATTTAGCTTATGACAAACTAAATAAAATAATTAAACATTCTTGGAATCGCTTCTCTTAACATACTGGTAGTTTGACCTGCATTCAAACCCCCATGAACAAGCTGATTGCATGGGCGTTTTTATGGTTTTAACTTTTTGCAGTGCGAGATTGTTTGCCTTAGAAAATCTGTCACGAAAGCATACCTCCCCTTAGACAGATCGCCTTCACGTGCTTAATAATCTAACAAGCCAAACCAAACACAACCCGAGCGAGGACTCGTAGTCAAGGCACGTCATCATGAAAAGCTAAATAAATTGTCTCATATTCACATTAAACATGCGCAACAAACATTCGCTAAAACTGGTATGCAGGCAATCCATTCATCAGGATTTGAACCCGCTTCAAACTATTAGTATTCAACGATTTTACCGCTACTTCGTTGGTGGCCTTTTGTAGTATCTATAAAAAAAGTAATCGCAAAGACACAATCATTGCGTACCGACGGATGAACTAAGTTCGGAATTTAAAGAATAACTTTCATTCGTGCTATTGCTGTTAGCATTGACATTTGGACAGATGTTAATTTATTTTAAATTCTTTTAATGTAATTAATTTATATCTTTAAATAATTGATCTTCTGACTGTAATTTTTTGTGCGCAGTATATCTAACCCTTCCGTACACTAACTGTTTTAATTAATTTACACTCCATTAATTTTAAGAGATTTCATATCGATAGATTTCTTTCCAAAAATGTTTCAAGGATTACATATTTTTTTCTTTAGATTTCAAAACATTTTGTATTTAAAATCTTAATAATAAAATTTTTAAAACAAATACGAGTATTTCTAGAAATTCCTTCGGCGTATTCATTTATTCCATTTAGTTGAAGTTTCGAGTAGAATATCTTCCTTTCAACATTCATATAATTTTTATATGTCAGTTCGCCATTTCTACGGAGCATAGAGCCACACATACGAGTCCAAAACTCAGGCATGCTGAAAGCACAGTTTTTTTAAACATTTAAGAATGTAAAAAGAAGAATATAACATTATAATAACGCGCATTTGAAATACGAAGGCAAACAAGAAAGCTGGTTGCAACATTTTATATTTTTTCCTGACGAATCAGAAATTGTAATCAACTTTTCAATACAAAAATAAAATATTTGATTCTATAACATATGAGGCATAAAAAGGGCGTCTTCCGTTACAATTCTTATTTTTTCCTTGTTTCTACTAAAATTTCGGCAATGTACTATAAACAACGTCGGATCCCTGTTTGACTTTCATTTGTACAAAGTACCACAAGGCAAACAGTTTTAAAACGATTTATCTTCTTTCGCAAACTTTTAGTCGGCACACAGATAATACATACCTGCTGTCTGACAAAGATACTTCACTCTAAGGACTTTTTTCTGAAGTGCTCTTTTGAAAAAGACTTCACACCCTATTAAGAGCTTTGTGTCAACTGACAGCCGCCTGCAGAAAGGTAGGGGAAGGAAGACCAGATCGCGTCGTCTAAACACGTCTTAAGCAATCTTCGCGAAATTCGGGCTTCGTGTATACACGTCTTAAGCATTTTTCGTGCGATTTGAAATTCGTGTAAAGACGTCTTAAGCATTTTTAAAGAAATTCCAGAAACGTTTAAACACGTCTTAAGCAGTTAAAGGGTTAAATTCGGCCCCTTTTCGAGGCAAGCATTCAAGGAAGTCCCATTTTCATCCTTCAATGATGCATCGAATACAGGTCGCACTTTCGTAGTCAGACCGGAATCCTTGATTACTGCTTGATGAGATGAATAGTGACCAGTATCACTATTATTCGGAGCTATTTCAATTATACCTTCCTCGTGCCAGCCTTTAATAATACCATATTCATCGAAAAATCCCATCTTCTGCAGTCTTCGTGTATTGGCGAAAAGTCTTTTTTCGCTTTATCTTTATTATCTTCAAGAATCCGATGACTATCCTTCCAAGGCAAACAGACTTCATACCTATTGCCCTCGATTACTTTAATGTTCTCTAGGAAAAATTTGATCGTTTCATTTCTTCATTTCCTCCGGACCTTTTATGCCAATTGTCTCTAAATTCCATAGTTCTGTGATATCCAAATAACAAAGTCCGACGGTATCAAGCAAGGTATTATGACTTTGCACTGGGCCTTGTAGGGTCCAACCCAATTTTGTTTCAATGGCAATAAGGTTTTTGTCAATTGGAATGATATTATTCGTCATCAACTGTCCGGAATAGTCGGCTCCTATTAACAATCTGATATCTGGTATATCTCTTCCAGAATCACTGATTTTGATTTTATGTTCTCGAAGTGAGGAACATATATGTTTGAGTTTCAATCTAGGAATGTATCCACAAATGTTTTCTTTATCTAAAACCGATAATTCGTATTTGAATTTATTTTCCGTTCCTTGTATTTCGATATCAAAAATACCATGGACCTGAGATTCAGTTTCAACTCCACCAAACAAATTGTGGCTCTTGATCTAATGGGACTAAATCTAGTCTCTTTATTATGTCTTTCCGTAAGTAAGATCTTTGTGACCCACTGTCAAAAAGCGTTCTCACAAGTTCCTTTTTTCCATTATGGACAATCTTCACCATAATAGTTTGGAGAAGAGTTGTTTGCAGTTTTTGGTTAGACAATAAAGTCTCACTCGTTTCGTTAGCTGCTTTAGTTTCTTCTTTTTTTGAACTTCTAGAACCTTTTAGTTCCCTGCACATCACCGTTACATGACATTTGTTGCAAACTAGGCATTTCACAGAACGTTTTCATTTTTCGGCAGCATGCCCAATTTTTAGGCAGTTAAAACAAGCTTTTTCCTTCTTTAATAAATTTTTCTTATCTTCCAATGAAAGGCTGCGCAGCTTAAAGCACTCATAAGAATTATGTGTTTTCTTGTCACACCAAACACAAAAATTAAGCTGTTTCTTCTTTGAATCTCCTGCATAAATACAAGTTGCTGTGGCTGGAACCGAGTCATATTTGTCTGGAGCAGAAAAACTTGTACGGGCTAACTGAAGACGCTCTTCACTTTCAACATCAATTCGGAGAAAATGCAATAAATTTTCCAAATTTTCAGTGTGTGCAACACTTTTCCTACGCTGGCGAGATCGCTCCCATGCCTTCAGAATTTCTTCAGGTAGTGAAGACTCTACAAGGGCATAGCTGCATAAATCTCACTTTTTACCCCCAACGTCTCCAAAACTCTGAGTTGCATCTCTAACTTATCATATAAGTTGGATAGAATCATATTTCCATTTTTGCTAGCTTGAGCCAAAACCTGGACTTTAATAATTCGCGAACATAGATTTTCTACCAGTAATTCGTCGCATGCAAATCGAGATTTTAGCTGCTTGATAGCTTCTTTATAATTCGCGCCTGAGGGAGGATAACTATCTATGAGCTCTCTCGCTGGGGATCCAACGACCGTTGCCTGCAATAGGTACTGAAATTTATCATCGTCATCTATATTTACATCTTCGTCGATCTTCTTAAACTGTCCCCAAAATCCTAACCAATTTCGGGTCTCCCCATTGAATTTTTGAAGCTCCAACTTTGGTAATTTAAAGTTCCTTTTCCTGGAATTTTCTAAAGTTCCAGGTGTAATTACAGGAGTGGAATTCACCATTCTTGTTTTCTACTTTTGTTTTTAAACTGATATATTTATCACGATATGTTTCATTCGTGTCAAAATCAGCTAAATATTCACTTTCGTTTTCACTTTTCAACAAAAGTTCGAAAATTTGTGATTGAACTTCACTAATCTGTTGAATTTTCCTTCCAACTGTGAGCTCAATACTTGGAGTTGATTAACCACGTCAAGCTTTAGAATTTCAGCATCTAAAGCATTGGCAGTAATCGTAAACGATTGCCTTAGTGGCTTACGCTTTCTTAATAAAATTTCCATGATTTTAAATTCAATATATCCAATATATTCAAATAATAAAGGATATAATCAAATAAATCATAAACTCACTTGATAAATTCCAAAACGAAATCAATGTTTCGTTTTCAAACTGTTGTTTCGTTTTCTTCAAATAGCCATTTTGTCCTGTAGCGGACGCCAGTTGTTTGAAATTAATCAATTTCTTTACTTATTTAATAACTTCGGACGAATGGTAATATATTTAGCAGAGAAAACCTTTTTAATTAACAACGAACTATTTTATTTAGCATTCTAAACATTACAAAAAGAATAACATTCCATGCGTTATCACGTTCAAAGTAATATATAACAAAACATCACTGTTGCTACAAAAAATCTACATTATAATGAACATATTAAATTATTGTGTATTAACTGAGTTCGTGCACGTTCCTGAACAGCTATCTTTTTCAGTATGTCCCATAAGTAAGACTAATCCAAGAACTTTCTGAAGCTTATCAGATGTAACTGGCGTCCAGTCGCTTTCATGCTTTTCTCCGCTTATATCTGGCCGCAACTCTAAAATCTGAAAAGCATATCGATTAGTTTCTCTGGTTAAAATTTTAAACAGTTCATCGGAAAAGTATAATTTAAAAAAATCAATAGCAAGATGAGTTTCCGAAAATTCAGTCTTTATACCAGGATTACTAGTAAAAAGTTGAATATCTTATCTTAGCATTGTCATTCTCATTTGGCTGTCTCCACTCAAGTAAATTATTAGCGTTGCTTTTATTTATTTTTTTCTCAATAACAATAATAACATATGTTTCTCAGTATCAATAATAATAATTGTTGCCATTCAGCAAAAAAGAAAAGTAATAACAGAAACATAAGTTGAAAGTCATAGATGAAGTATAGTAGTTAAATTTAAATAACGATATTAATTATTGTACAGTCTTTAACAATAGGTACAACCTGGAAACAGCCTTTTGTCAAATAAGTATGGACATATTTTATTAAAGCATTGTCACTTTTTGCGTGTGTATGTGTGTGTGTGCATGCGTAGACGCGTTGTCAGCTAAACTAAACGTGCGGTTGGCTAAATATTTTGTCGGTTAAATATCCTGTCGGTTAAATGTCTATGTCGGCTATATGTCTTTCAGCTAAATGTCCTCGTCGACAAAATATCCTATCGGGTAAATTTCCCTATCAGCTAATGCCCCTGTCAGTTAAATGACCCTGTGGGCTGTGCAGTCTGCTAAATGTCTTTTCGGTTAAATGTACACGTCGACTACATGTCTTGTCGGCTAAAGGTCAATTTCGACTAAATATCCTCTCGGCTAAATTTCTCAATTAGCTAATGCCCCTGTCGGCTAGATTTCCCTGTCAACTAAATGACACTGCCGGCGGAGTGGGCAGTCGGCTAAATGTTCCTGTCTAATAACTGCCCGTGTCGGTTAAACATAGGTATCGGCTAAATTCCCTGTCGGCAAAGTGTCTTGTGCGCTAACTGTAATCGACCCATTAATCAGACCTTGTCTGCTCCTTTTGTTCTGCTTCGCGTGTTCCAAAAAAAAGAAGGAAACACTATAGTAGACTTTAATTACAAATATTTCCTGTATGCCTGGAACTGAGGCATATGTCAAACTCTGAAAAGAAGATTCCGAATCTTTCATTTAAATTCAAATTTACTAATGTTTACATCTGAAATCCAAACGAAAGCTACAACTCAAAACAAATTCATGGAATACATATAAACGTTGCCGCACAAAAAAAGCTAATTATTAATAGGCTTTAGACTCGTAATAATTATACCTTACATCCTCCCACCTTGCAATGAGAAATAAGGAACTGAACATTGCAACGTTTGTGAACATAACTCTAATCTCTGAGTTTTCTTCATAGTTCTTCCATGTCTCGTTATACGAGGGACTCCGTCATTTGAAACAGGTATGTTTCTCTGTTGAGGTGCTTTCACTGTAGATTGCTTTTTAGCAGGTGTCTTGAACTGGTGTCGTGTATCACTATCTAGATTAAGTCTCTCTGCAGATGATAGTTCTAATGGTTAGAGACTCTGTACTTCTCTTATTAATTCACCACTCTGAGTTTTAATTTTTGCACGTCGATTTATTTCATCGACTCCTGGATATAATTCAAGGATTTTACCTAAAGATTAAATCATTCTCTTCTTATCATCATTTCCAACTAGTACAATGTCACTTAATTTAATATCACAATGTTTGACCTATTTTCCTCTTGAAATTTCAGAGTCCCTAAATACTCTTGGCGGAATCTCTTCCTAAAAGTCTTACGGGTATTCTAAATGTGCCGCATTCTACGTCTAAAGAAATTTGAATTGATTTTTTGCTTTATCAAAGGGAATAAATATTTCTGTAATTTGCTTAAGAATGTGGCTGGTGTTATAGCAGTGAGATCTGAATCAGCTGATACAACTGTAAACGGTCTATCACTGAGTATGGCTTCACAATTACACAAAACAGTGCACATTTCTTCGTAATCTAAACACGCTTTTCCAAGGATTTTTCTTTACATTTTCTTCATTAATCCAATTAGACGCTCCCACCAACCTCCCCACAAAGAAGTACCGGGAGGTATAAATTCCTTCAGTTCCTCTTCTAGAGATTTCATTGAAATTTACTGAGGCAAAAGCATTAGATGCACTTACAAAATTGGTACCGTTACCCGAATGAATTATAGTGAGTCTACCTGGCCAAGAAACAAGAAATGAAGAGCTTGAAGAAAGGTTTCTGTAGACAGAGATGTTACGATTTCTAAATACGATACACTGCGCATGTAAACAAGCAAATCCATGCCTTTCTTTTATCCCTAAGTATCAACAATTCTGCAAAATCAATACCAGTAATCTGCAACACAGAGGCATCTTGATCACTGGGCAGTGGTAGGACTCGAGGATTGCCCTTTTGCTAGAATAACTTTTACAAATAACGCAAGATTTCGAGACGGATGAAACAGTTCTTCATACAGATAGCAACCAGAATCTTTCTTGTACAGAATTTAAGACGTGAGAAACTCCGACCTATCCTTTAATTTAAAGTTCTTCCATTTGTAGACACAATAGGTATTTTTTAAGCAGGTAAGATCAAAAATTAGCATCGCCTTCTCCGGGAATCGAACCGCGGACCTCTGGAATACCGGCCCAGCGTGCAGAACCACTACACCACGAAGTCACGTTAAGAAGGCGGGAGAAATACCCTATATACTATACTGCCCCTTTTAAAAGGCGACTGGGGTATTTTAGGGGACCCAATCGCCAAATACTGGGTGAAGAGAATCATCATCCAACACCCTTTTAGTTCGGGCGCCACTGTAGAGACATTAGGATTTTTTTGGAAGCCGGAGAGATGAAAAATTAGCAACCGTCTTCGCCGGGAATCGAACCACATATTTCTGGAACATCGACACAGCGTGCAGAACCACTACACCCCGAAGGCACACTAGGAAAGTGGGAGATATACCTTATGTACTCCCCTTTTTAAAGGGCGACTGGGTTTTTTAGGGGATCCAATCGCCAAATCCTGGGTGCTTAGAATCGTCATCCAACACCCTTTTAGTTCGGACGCCACTGTAGAGACATTAGGCATTTTTTGGAAGTAGGCAAGATGAAAAATGAGTAATCGCCTTCGCCGGGAATCGAACCACGAACCTCTGGAATATCGGCATAGCATACAGAACCACTACACCAAGAAGGCACGCTAAGAAAGCGGGAGAAATACCCTATACATTACTATGATTTTCATATGAGAATGGTCACTGGGTAGAATGGCGGGAGTTCTAAACTCTGACTCATCATCTCGTTGAAATACTGCTATTTTCGTCCTAATGATTCCTTGGCCTAGAAATGTATTTAGTGATACTAAACGCTTATCTTTAACTCCAGCAAAAGATTCAGTTTCTATCACGGAAAGGAGAAATTTCTAAGATTCATTAAGCTCAGGAACGGCAAGTTCATCTCTCCTTTTCTTCTCATACCTGTTGTGAATGAATCGACAAACCCAAGCCATCATTCTAATACTCCGGTGGTAAGTTGAGAACCGAAGAGTATTTATTAGACAATGGAATTTGTACAAATCAAAAATGATACAATTTTCTTTTTCTTCTCCTTCGCTACTTTTTCTTCTTCTACAATGAAGTCGTTGCTTGGCCAGTTTTCTCGCAGTGAATATAACTCGCAGTGAACATTCCTTTCTCTCCCACCAATGGGGCGCGAGTGAATAGCGGGCAGGATATCCTCTACTGGGCAAATCGGCAGAGTTCATTGTTCCTGGGATGTGCTTCCAGACATCCCTTGGAGTAAGTTGTCTTATTTCCATAACTCTGTTATGAACAAACACATCCCATGCTACATCTCTTTGTATCCAGGCCAGTACAGTTGAAGAATCAGTCCAAAAGCAAGCGTTTTGTACTTTATACTCTTTTAAAATGGACGAAGATAAACGAGCACAGATAGTAGCGACCATGAGTTCTAATCGGGAAATAGAAATCTCTTTCTTCTCAGTAGGAGCAACTCTTGTTTTAGCTTGCAACAAATTAACTTTCACAGAATCTCCGTTTTCAGTGCGAATGAAAGCTGCAGTTGAAAATGCCAATTTACTTGCATCGCAAAAGAAATGAAGTGATATTATTTCAAACTCACAGTGCAACTACCTAGGTACTTTCAAATCTTTCAAGTAATTTAAATCATTCATCCACTTATAAAATTCTGACTTGGTTACAGACTCAACTTCTTGATCCCAAGACAATGTAGATTTCCACAGTATCTGAAGCATAAGCTTAGGAAACAAAGTAATAGGCGAAAATATTCCCAGAGGATGAAATACTGTATGAGCAGTTGCTAAAATTGTCCTTTTAGTTACCTTTTCAGGCAATTCAAAAATAACATTGATAATATTCAAGCTTAGTGTATCACTATTACGTTTCCATTGCATTCCTAATACATTAACAATGTTTAAGGAATACTCTGATTTATCAGTATATTCCCAGCCACGTAATTAAAATTTTCTTTTAGCTGAAATGTCTGTAGCCATCTGTATGAAGTAATGTAATTCTTGATCATTTTTGACGCTAGTTATAAAGTTATCGACATAAAAAACTGTTCTTCAACTTTTCAACCATTTCTGTTGAATATTTTAATTTTCATTCGACAGCATCTTTCAAAATTGAATCTAAATAATATTGAATAACAGAACTGAGTAAATAAAGAACTACTGCAGAATGCAAACACAACTCTAAAGTGTCTGTAATATCTAAGTTGGCCATCGACTTGCTACCATAAGAATCTCAAAAAACCTTATCTTTATGATTAATGCTGATTTGGAAAAAAAAAAAAAAAAAGCTTTTTCATATGTCGGATGTAACTCCTATTTTGTTCATCCGGAATCGATGGAGAACTGAAGGAATAAGTTCAGTAAGATTCAAACTCTGTTCAAGGCAGTCTAAGTGTTCCTTTCTGTTCTTCTGAAGCGTAAAATACAGGTCTAATCTTTGTTTTACTGTTTTCTTTGACTACGTGACGATGAGGTAAGTAATGACAAGCTAATTCAATTTCAGTTTTCGGTAGAGACTCTATTATTCCTTCTCGTTCCCACTCACAGAGAACTTCCCTATATTCTTCATAAAGATTATCAGTTTTCAATCGTTTAACAGTCGAATCTAATCTTTTAATAGCCAAATTAAAATTTTCTGGCAAGGGCGGATGTTCACCAAGCCACGGTAAGCATACTTGAAAACGACCTTCTTCATTTTTAACTGTAGATAAGATATGTTTCCTGGTTTCTTCTTGAAGTTCTAATTTATATTTCTTTTCTAAAGGGTCTAAAATTCCTAGCGTGTCAAGAGCCCACAAATCGGATACCAATGTCTCTTTATTGAGCATTGAAGTGACAAGAAAAGTTAAATTATTTGAAATTTCAGACAAAGTTTTGGCCCATAACCGTCCATTCTAATTTGGTCTCAATAGCCGCAAGACCTGAGGGAAGTAGTCTAAAGCCCCAATTTTTTCCAAATATCAGCTCCAATTTATATTTCTAGCGATCCATCACTTTGAACATTCAGATAAATATCATTTTCCCTAAGTTCATTTACCTAGTCGCCTCGTCCTACTGGTAGTATATTACTACAAATTACCTCTTGTTCAAAAGCCTTAAAATTGCATTAATAATACCATCTGTTTTCGATAAAAAAAAACACCGTAAAAACATCGTGATCTATAATTTCAGGCGGCCGACCGGTAAAGTTGCTGAACACTGGTAGTTCAGTCCGAGGTTCGAATCCCGCGAACGGGCTGGCTGCATGGGCGTTTTCTGGCTTTCCCCGTGTGTAACGTGTTATATGAGCCAGTTTCCCCTTAGGAAGTCCTCCACGAAGGCATTCCTCCCCTTGGGCAGATAGCCCTCGAGGCTTTGCCATAATCACACACACACTATAATTTCAGTGGTTGTCCCTCCAAATAACGAATGCTGTTTTTCTTTGCATATAATCGGAAATTGCATTTCAGAAGCGGTATTCTTCAAAACATAAGGCCCATGTGAGGCTGAGTCAATGATAGCTCTTGCTTCCCGTTTTTTATTTTTCCTCTCAAACCATCAAAGTTTGTAATAAAACGTTAGGAGTTTTCGACTAATTTGTAAATGTCTCGTTATTTTTTGGTATTCGTTTATCATCTTCTCTGATACTGCTGTTAGTGCTACATTCAAGTTTGGACTCGTAGTTGATGTTTTTGCACAAGAGTATGTGGAGCTTTTTCCCATAAACTAGACACGAAACTTTGGTACTTTTCCGTTTTGCCGGCGCAAGCGATAAAGTCGCCAATAATGGTACAGTCGGTTACAAAAGAATTCGAACAACCGGTACCCATTCAGAAAATTTACTTTTCCGTTGAGAAACAAAATGGTGGCTCGTGTCAATCTTGGTTCGATCAGAACACCAAAGGATGGCTCACGTCCATCTTGGCTACGTGTCGAAAAAAACACGAGCTATCTGGGTGAGCTGGGAAACAACATGGCTGCTCAAGCGATCCAGGTTTGCGCGCAGAGAAAAACACAAACGGTCGCTGCGGCCCGACTTGGTTGGCGAAGAGCGAAAAAATAAAAGGGTCCCAAGAATCCATCTTAGTTAGATGGGAAAACAAAAGGATGGTTCATGTCAAATTCGGCCAGGTGTCGGAAAAGTTACCAACGACCTATCTGAGTGAGCTGGGAAACAAAATGGCTGCTCAAGCGATCAAGGTTTGCGCGCAGAGAAAAGCACAAACAGTCGCTACGCCACGTCTCGGTTCACGAAGGGAGCAAGAACAAAATCGTCTCACTCATCCATCTTAGTTGGATGAGAAAATAAAAGGATGGCTCACGTTAAATTTGGGTTAGTTAATTTCTATGATGTCTAAAAACAATCTAAAAATTAACAAAAAGTTTTTTTTTAACAACTCAGACACTGAGAAATTTTTTCCAGAGCTCTGAGAGTTCTTCCCTCTCGAGTCGATGATCAAAACAAGACCGATCCAAATTGTTTCTAGAAGGAACTCTCGCTTATCTATTTAAACCACTGGCATTTCAGCTTTCAGATCAGTCTGTGCTGTGCACTCAACGTGGATACACGCTACTCTCTCCTGGAAAGAGCTTCTGTGGAGGTATGGAAACATTGCTTTCTTACTCTTGTGTATTTCATTAGACTCTCACAGATATGAAATGAAACGGGAAAAGCATAGAAGGAATCTCTTGATACCAATTCTTTCCAGATCAGGGAAACATGTGTCCCGGTGGGTCCACAGCAGGGACTGAAATGCAGCTAAACGCAGAATGCTTCATTAAATAATGGAAAGTCTATTCTTAAAAAAAAATAGGGTGATGCCTCGTTGATCGAGTCGGCTGGGAAAAATTTGTCAGAGCTCAGAAGAAAATTCTGAGTCAGTCCCGAGAGCTGACATTGCTTTAGGTTAAAAATGCTTTTTGGAAATCTATTCCCGCTTTCGTCTGGATAGAAATTAATTTTCATGAAAGGCATGTCCCATTTTCATTTCTCAAGTAGTTGTTTAAAGTATGCTTCTAAACATTAATATTGTCAGATTTTCTGTTTATAGAGTGAAACTGTATTAAAAATGTTTTAGTTCCTAATGTTGTTACCATACCACCCCCCTCTCTTTGAACATTGAGAAAGATCGTGTTGAGAGATCTTGTTCTAGTTTTCTCAAATCACCCTGGTATGGCTAAAGCGAAAACTCGGAAGGCTGTCAACAAAAACATTTTTCAGATTTGCTTTCAAAAGCTACGCAAAAAAAGCTACGAGAATCCAAAAGAGCTATGGGAATTTCCAGAAGGGGGGGCAGAAAATAGATATCCAGGTGAGTCCACAGCACGAACTGCACGGAAGGGAAACGGGAAAGACTTCCATAGATAACAGAGAGTCCATTCTTAAAAATAGAGGGATGTCTCGTCGATCGAGTCGGCTGGGAAAAAAATTCTAACAGCTGAGAAAAATGTTCGCATACCTTCATAATGGATCTTTCCAGGAAAGGAGCAGTGTGTATCCAGGTCAAATCCACAGCACAGACTGATTGCAAGTCGAAACGCGAGTGGTTTAAATAGATAAGTAGGAATTAATTCTAGAAACAATTTGGATTTGTCTTGTTTTGATTTTCGAGCCGAGGGGGAGAGCTCTCAGAGCTCTGAAAAAAATTTCTGAGTGGTTGAGTTGTGAAAAAAAAACTTTTTGTTAAGTTTAATAATGTCTTTAGACATTATAAAAATTATTATTATTTGTTTAGGATGATGTTTCACCCTTTCTAAAAATAGATCATGACTCATCCTTTCTAAAAATAGAATTCCTAAAAAACAATGAGTCATCTCTTTCTTGGAAATCTGTTTTAGAAGCATGTTGAAACATGTTGGAACCTGATTCGAACCAAAATAGGGGAGGTTAAGTTAATTTCTATTATGTCTAATTTCTGAACTGTGAGAGTTCTCCCCCTCGACTCGAAAATCAAAACAAGACTGAACAAATTGTTTCTAGTAGGAGCTCTCGCTTATCTATTTAAAGCACTCGCGTTTCAGCTTCAGATCAGTCTGTGCTGTGCACTCAACATGGATACACGCTGCTCTCTCCTGGAAAGAGCTTCTGTGGAGGTATGGGAACATTGCTTCTTCTTGGGAGGTGTTTTCATTGGATGGATGGGTCTCTTTTTCTACCCAAATCTGGAACCCATGAGGTTTTTTCAAGACGAATTCTTTGAGAATATCTTACCATTTCGGAACCTTAGATGAGCTGGAAGTTCTTTTCCTATTTCGAAGCTATTTATTGATCAAAGAAGGAGATTCCAATGGAATGACTTACGAATTTTGAAAATGTTACCCTTTGAATATTTTATGGGAAACTCTATCCTTTGAGTCGATACTAAAACGCCCTGAGTGCTGACATCGTTCTAGGATAAGAATGTTTTGCGAGATTGATTCCCGCTTTCGTCTACACAGAAATACTTTTCACGAAAGGTAAGTCCTCTTTTCCATTTCTGTTTTTTTCAAGTATTTGTTCAAAGTATTCTTTTGTAAACACTTTCGAGTAAAACGTTGTATAATTTTCTGTTTGTCATGAATCTATAAAAAAATTTCAATGCCAAGTTTTATTGCTATATATCCAACATGATTCATACATTTACTATACGTTTTAGATGAGATCCTCTCTTAAACATGAATTTCCTATTATTAAAAGAAATAGAATCCTATTATTATTTTCCTAATGGCATGATCCTTTTAAAACATGTGTGTGTATGTGTTGTAGGGTTAGCTTTTCTCTCTTACGAGCTAGTTTTGATTTTCTCCTCGGGATGTATTTTTTGGACCACTCTCTCGTGGTCGCTGAAACTCTCGTAATCGCTCAAGCGAAAATGGTTAATTTTTTTTCACTCAAGTGATTTTCGTTCGGCAGATCTAAGTTTCCTCCGTTTGAGAGCTACGAGTCCAAATTTCAAATTCGCTTATACAGCTACGAGGAAATTGGGAAATATTGTCCTGAAGTGGAATGTCTGTATACATCACGTTGAGAGATCTATTTCTAAAGGATCTCAGAGAAAACATTTTACACATTCTTGGAAAAAAAAATTCAAATGTGTCGTCTGAAGCAGGCTCATGTTGAGAGACGAGAGATCGAACAACAGGTCTCCATTGTGTTCAGTGGGAGACCCGATGTTCACTCGTAGACAAACACGGATGCTCTAAACTTTCTCCTACCTCAATGCTGTTGTTTGAAATGAATAGGACAAACAAATCGTCATAGCTATGAAATGAAACACAAAACCGGTGGATACTTTCTAGAATAAGGACACTTGTACCCAGCTGGGTCTACAGCATGGACTCAACGCAAACGAAACGGGAAAGGCTTCAATAGATAACAGAGAGTCCATTCTTAAAAAATAGGGTAATGCCTCGTCGATCGAGTCGGCTGGAAAAAAAAATTTCTAAAAGCTGAGAAATATGTTAGCATGCCTTTACAGAATCTCCTTCTAGGAGGGAGAAGAGTGTATCCAAGTCGAATCCACACCACAGACTGATTTGAAGTCGAAACTCGAGTGGCTTAAATAGATAAGTGTGAATTCCTTCTAGAAAGAATTTTGTGTGTCTTGTTTTGATTATCGAGTCGACTGGGAAGATCTCTCAGAGCTCTGGAAAAAATTTCTGAGTGGCTGAGTTGTTTTAAAAGAAAACTTTTTGTTAATTTTTATAATGTCTTTAGACATTATAAAAATTAACTACAGTCGGTCACAAAAGTATTCGAACACCGGTACCCTATCAGAAAATAACAAGATGGCGTTTTTTTTCTCTTTCTCTCTGTGTGTCGTGTTATTCCATCCTAGGTTTTCTTCTCCCCCCCCATCTTGGAAAAAAC